GTAATGACCAACTGTTAGTGGTTTTGTTGGAATCATCACAGCCTGCATTATTTAAATCATCTCAAAAGGTCGAACGACGAACGGACTGACAAACACAAATGAATTAACGGACAACCGACAAACGGATCGAAGGATAGATGAACGGACGAACAAACAGACGGATGAACGGACCGACCGACGCACAAATGAACCAACGGACAACCGACAAACAGATCGAAGGACGGATGAACGGACTGACAGACGCACAAAGGAACAGACAAGCGAACAGACAAACAAACCGACCAACAGATGAACGAACAAACAGACAAACGAACAGACCGACAGACACACAAATGAACCAACGGACAACCGACCAAAGGACCGAAGGACGGACAGACAAACAGATGGACGAACGGATGAATGGACTGACAGACACACAAATGAACCAACGGACAACCAACAAACGGACCGAAGGATAGATGAACAGACGAACAAACAGATGGATGAACGGACCGACAGACACACAAATGAACCAACAAATGGATCGAAGGACGGATGAACGGACCGACAGACGCACAAATGAACCAACGGACAACCAACAAACGGACCGAAGGATAGATGAACAGACGAACAAACAGATGGACGAACGGACCGACAGACGCACAAAGGAACAGGCAAACGAAAGACGAACAAACCGACCAACAGATGAATGAACGAACAGACAAATGAACAGACCGACAGACACACAAATGAACCAACGGACAACTAACAAACGGACCGAAGGATAGATGAACGGACGAACAAACAGACGGATGAACGGACCGACAGACGCACAAAGGAACAGGCAAACGAAAGACGAACAAACCGACCAGCAGACGGATGAACGAACAGACAAACAAACGGACCGACAGACACACAAATGAACCAACGGACAAAGATGAATGGACCGACAGACGCACAAAGAAACAGACGAACAAACAGACGAACAAACCAACCAACAGATGAACGAACGAACAGACAAACGAACGGACCGACAGACACACAAATGAATCAACGGACAAAGATGAACGGACCGACAGACGCACAAAGAAACAGACGAACAAACAGATGAACAAACCAACCAACAGATGAACGAACGAACAGACAAACGAACGGACCGACAGACACACAAATGAATCAACGGACA